CTTTTTGAATCATTGACCAGTCTGAAAAACTGAAAGTGGAGTAAAAAGCAAGACACAACAAAAATCAGAAATACTGTACATTTTTGCCATTTCTGTCAGCCACAGCTAGGAAATGTTGTTATAAAGCAAGATTAAAAATTGAGGAAGGAAATAAATGATAACTGCACTCTTACTTTCGGCTATTTTATGTCTGATTGTTTCAAAAGCAGGAGTATGAAACTGGGTACGTAACTTCACCCTCTCCAAGAATTGCCAGGATCATTGTTTATGAGTGTGATTTAATCATGACAACAGTTTCCTTACCTACAGTATGTTGTAATCATGGAAATATCATAGGATGTTTTAATTGACACCTCGTCCCCATCATGACGACGTACACTGAAAAGTCATCATCTTGGGAGATACAGGACTGGAAAATTAGGATGGCAGATAATTATCCCATGGGCTGCAAACATTTCCCTTAATGGAATCCCAGCCACCAAGGGTCAGCAGCTAAGAAACAAGCCCATGTGCAGGGCACAACTCCACCATGATGGGCACACTACCTACTAGAGCTACGTGTGGTTGCTGAGAGCACAGGGGCCTGTACAGACCCCCCTAAGCTGGTAACAGGGTTTGGGGAGGGAGGCCAGGGGGGTTCTACCACCTCTTATACGTACTCTCTTTTGCTGCCTTCAAAGGGAATGATGTTTTAACTCTGTCCACTCCTTCATTTGTATATTCTACTACTATAACTCAATTTTCCCCAATTAGCTAGTGCCATGTGTCAAGTTTACTCAGTTTTTTTCCCCTTTCTTTATTGCTCTTAAATTAACTGGCAGCTCAAAGTCTCATCTAAAGCTATTTTGTGTGCTTTTTCTGCCTTAAAAAAATGCTCATCCAAGATTATTTACTCAGTCCCAAGCTTTAGAAAGTCACCTTGATATGGGAGGAAAAATATCTGTTTGTTAGACTTGCTTTGTTTTAATATGTTAGTGAAGGGAAAGAAATCCCAGATACAGCTGTGGATGTGACTGTTTTCATCCTTTGAGAAAATATATGTTCTAAATCAGCTCAGTGGTACTTGTGTCACTGAGTTTCTAATGTTGTTGAAAACTGACACCAATACCATGATCTTTTAAAAACTTAAACTTAAAATTTTGACCCAAGAGTAATGTCCCCCTTTAAAAGAAAAACCTCCAGAATTAAGATTTCAGCTGTTCCATCCTGAGCTAGAGAACTATTTTTCCTAGCTGCTGCCTGTATTGGGCTTCAAACCAAAACTGAATGAATGCAAAGGAGGAAGCCTAATGTACAGCAGTTTAAATATATGGAGGCTTTTGGGCTTTTGGAACATCAAACCCTTCAGAGTACAAAATATTTGCAATTTGGTATTGCAAGCATTTCCCTTCCCACTGGAAGGTTAATTTATCATAGAGGAATACATTGCTCTCAGGCAATATCACAGGCTGGTCGTGTTCTTCCTACCTTAACTTATTCTTATAACCAGAAGAAAATTAGTGTCACCTGCGGTGAGGGTTGTCTTTGAGAGACTGGTCTCATATCATACTCCTATTTAAGGGAATCCATTCAGAAGTTGAGGGTAAGGCTAAGGATCGCAGTGGTATTTTTTTGCCTTTTAATCACAGTCTTTTCAAGGTAATCCATATTTTAGCGGTAGTCCATAATGTTATCTTCATTTGTAACCTGTTGCCATATTTATTCCATAGAACTTTGCACATAGCCTATGACCATGGAGGCTTAGTCACTGCAACTCCTCCCAGCACAGCTTCCAGCAATACCTCCCAGCCATTTGCAGCTTGTTTAGCACGCAAAACCCCACACTGGTACTCTGGGTTGAGTAACGATGTTCTTATTACACCCACTCAATATCCTTAATATTGGGTAACAGGAAACCAGGGGATGAAACAAGCTATTACTTTTGGTTTCTATGGTCCTGAATCTGTAAGCTCTAGTTCTATGGGGGTATCTGCTCTTTGACAACACTTCCCATATTGTATTTCAGCCAAGAAGATCGATGTACCTTAGTTAAAGTGAGTCATTCACTGAACCTAGGCCAAACTTTGAAGCAAATCTGGGCCAGTTTACAGCCTCAGGAGGAAACCTGGTTTTTGCATGAATTAGATGTGAAAATAAGCAGAGCCTGACTGACATCTTCTCTGAATTCCAACTGTAAGGGTAAAAACCCAGAGGGCATGAGCTTCAGGCATGACAAAAATGAGGAGGGGAAAATCAGGCTTCCTGTCTCCCCTCCAAGAGCCAGAGAGACACATGTTACTCAGAACTTAGGGTAAATTGTTGATTATTTATACACAAATTAAGTAATGTTTATAGAATGTCTTACATATGTAAATTGCTGTAAATATGCTTACATTTTTCCTGCAGTCTCCAATTAAATGAACTTTCATTTTAGAGCAAAACAATTCCATACCAACTTGTTACACCAGTTCTTTAGCCAGGCAGCTTTTTAGCTAATGGTTCCAGCTCAAACTGCACTATTGCATTTCTCTGCAGAAATTTCTGTGCTGGTTTGTAGTTGTTTTAATTCCATCACAGATCACATTCTGTTTAATGATAATTTGATTTTGCATTGCAAGACCCAGATGTACATTAGGAGGTCACAACCTTTCCATTTATCTCTTAAAGTAACTATTTTTTCCCCAAGTTCCATCAGGTTAAAACAGTTAGCAATTTTTCTCCTTGAAGTCTCCCTTCAGCTTGGCCAAGATATATAATAGATCAGTGTAGCTACAAATGCATTACAACATTAGTCATCAATTAGTTTTAAACCATCGCTGTAATATATCATTTATCTAGCTTGCTGTAGCACTATTGTGAACATTTAATTTTTTAAAGGCATCTTGATTTTTTAACCTGACGGCTGCATCCCCTTTTGTCTCCTATACAGACATCTCCTTAAGGAACAATAAAAATTAGATTTGTTTGACCTGCACTCAGGGTTCGTTTAAGCGAGATGGATTTTAATTGCTCTGCCTAGTCTACCAGACAGCTTTTATGTAATATTCCAGACATTTACGCACTGTCTTTTGCCTTGCTGTAAGCAGGTGTGTGTGCCCACAAATGCCTGTAAAGCAGCTCTTACAATTCATTTCACATCTCTGACAATCCTCTGGGAAATTGCTTACTCTGAGATATCATTGGCACCAAATTAAGGGCTCCAGTCATTGCCACTTCTTTCCTCCTAATACCATTTTCTTTTGTCTTTAAGATTCAACTTTTTGAGGCGGTAATTCTAAAAGGACTTTGCTGAGGACTGTGTTCCTTGTGCTTGCATTGTCATCATACAACGCAGATGACTCACCTCTGCATCTCCGGATAGTGAGAATGTGTACAGAGCCTCACCTGTCTCTCCCAAAATCCACATTGTCCTTCTACCATTTGCAATACATTTGACTTAGATTTATGATTTGAGAAGGTTTGGAGTATAAGACAACTGAGAGAAGCATGTCTATGCCACAGACGTATCTTGAAGTATTTCTAACTTCAATTAGTAAGTCATGCGAGCAAGTTATCACAGCATTGACTCAGAGCCCAAAACACCCTGACTTCTCTGCCAGCTTGGAGTAGAGGCAAAATGAGCTCACATTTGCCCACGATGAACCTTATTTGCTCCAGCTGCTCCAGCAGGGAGAGGAGAACCTCATGCGGAGAGTTCTCTCCCGGCTGACTCTCCTCTTCCACGGGTGATACAATCTGAAGACGAGGTCCTCTATTTTTCCTGTTCTTCCCATTCCTAAAAAGGAAGATTTGGCTGTCCTGTGAGTTACCAAATCAGCACAAAAAAATGGGCCTCCTAAGCAGTTATTTGTGCCTACAGCTGGTTCTGGTCTATGCTCTGTTGGACACACACATGTACTTAATTCCCATTTGTGCTGGATGCCTATTAAAAGAACAAATCTGCAAGTGAGGAGGGTCTCTTCTACCATGTCAATGGAAGTGAAATACGTAAATCTCCTGCATGCTGAGGGCAAATGTATGCTTAAAATGCTTGGGAGAACAGCTGTGAAAAAGAATAAGCGGTTTGTATTATGCTGCAAAGTGTCACTGATCCAACATGCTAAGCTGATCCTCATGTAGTACATTGTGCTTGCTCCATGCTTGCATTATACTGCCTACTGCTTCTATGTGTGGGTAATTCAAAATGCACGGCATTTCAGACAGCATAGAAAAAGGGACAAACCTGGCTTCTTCTGTATAACCAGCATGGTTCACAGCAGCAAGGGACCACTGGATTGGAAAGAACAATTCCAGTTAGGGGCCCCGTGCAGTGAGTGGAGGTGGAAATCATGGTGAGCCACGGAGAGAGCTGTGGAGGAGCAGGGGGAACTGCCTGTCTTTCCTAGTCTGGGAAGCCATAAGAGGGATTGGAATAATCTTCCTCGGTGCCACTGTTTTTCTCCCCTTTTATCGGCCAGTGGTGAATCCCAGTCACCTGGGAGACATCCTGGAGTGAGACTGGTATAAGATGATAGGGGAGTCACAAAACATTTAAATAATATTAAGGGTTCTGTAGGAGACTGTGGAAGGAAGTCCCATTTCCTTTCCTTAAAACTGAGCAGAATTGCACACTTGACCAAAACCCACAGTACATCTTCAAAGTGCAAAGTACAGCTGCAGAGCTCAAGGCATTCATCTCCCACCCGCCCTGTCTGAACCAGCACCCGAGCCCAATGATAAACTGCACATATGATTTCCCTCTGGACAAGAGAGAGAAGCAGCAGAACAGCTTAGATGTTAATTATGGCATCAATGGAAGAAATTCAGATGCTACACTGAGGGAAGCCTTAGAAAACTTTACATGATATAGAAACTATGAATACACCAGTGACATCAGGAAAAAGATGGGAGGTCCAATGCACGCGCTTTGCATATGGACACATAATTCTTAATTTCATACTCTGTTTTTTTTTTTTTTTCCTAGGGCTTATATATCCATCAATAACACACACCAATATTTTTAGTTCCCTGACAGAAGCACTGAAAATCAGAACCCATTTATGTAGTACCAAATAAAATCAGAAATAAGAGTGGGCTTTAACACTGGAATACAAATTTCTAAACCTCTGAGGACCAGATGTAGCAAAACTGGAACATTCGACAGCTGTAATGTGCACCAAGAAGTCACATTTGTTCATGAAAAGTCACATTACTTATATTAATTGGATATGTCCAGCTCATCCTGAGTCCACTTAAGCCTTGGCAAACCTCTAGCTCCAAGGCATAACAAAAATATTAATATAGATATGCCTTTGTATTACGCCATTTACATAACGACTCCCACCTTTGCAACCTAATACTTACTCTTTGGAACACAGAGAACTATTGACTCATATCTGGACTGGGATGCCAAAACCTCCTAAATTTAGAGATGTTTGGAACAAGAGAGTTTGGTTCAGGCCCATCCACAACAGCAAATTAAACACAAGTCATCATCTGTTCGAGCGACATTTTCAGCATGTCCAGAGCCTGGCGTGAGCTGACATTCTTTCTCCCAATAAGATTTACAGAATTTGCGCATTGAAAAGTATTGAGGTAAACCACGGTCTGAGGGCCAAGTGCATAAATTAGACCAGTCCCCTCCCTTCAGTAAATTACATGTATACACGCTGTAGGTTGGCTAACTATGCTTTTGGCAACTTGAACAAGTCTGTGTGAGTGTGTGTTAACAGAAGGGGAGTTTGTGTCATACTCATGCATTTACATTTTCTTTTCTAAGACTTTGGTGCAAGGAATATGTTGTACATCATCTTTTCCCTCCGTTCACATCAGATACTAGATTAAACAGACAGGAAAAAAAATGTAATATTAAAAGAGTTGGCACATACTGCACTTTCTCAGCAGAAATTGTGTCACTTGTATATCGGTTTGGTTTAAATTACGTAGGTCAATTTAAGGTCAGCAAGAAGTGCCAGATTAGCATCCTTAGAGACTGAGGTCCTCTCCTCATTCACAGAACAAGTCCAGATCAAGAAACATCCATTAAAGCTTCACGCACAATGTTTCTTCCTTAGAAGACAGTTATATTTCCTCAGGCCAACCAAGTGCTCACCTGTTCCTTGAGCCCTCTGCTTATATGGCAAAACAAAATGACCAGTTGGCTTGATGATAAGGGGACTGAGACTATCAAACTGCTTCTTGAAACACTGTGAAGATTTTTGAGCTGCATATTTGCAGGAGTCCATGTACCTGTGAAATAGCTGAATCACTGTCTTCCATGTGTCAAAATTATGCCATTGCTGGGCTGTTCCATCTTCCTCCCACAGATCTACCACATTTTAGGTAGAATGCATGGCCTAAAAACCCAAATACATGTTGCAGCTCAGACTGGCTTTTGGTGACTTCTAAAAAAGTAATACAGTGAATACCACTAGGAAAGCCACACAGTACCCCAAAGGGATGCAGTTTGCACTCTAGGCTTTCAGCCTTCCAAACTGGACTATCTGTGCAAAGCTTTTCTCTATGACCTGAAGAACCCGTAGAATTATTTTTAATTGAAGGCCGAAAGCCTCACATAACCAGATGACATGAGAACTAGGGCTTTCTGAAAAACGGAAAACACGGGATGATTTTGGACTAAAACACAAAGGAACTGAATATTGTGCATACGTCTTCTCCTGAATTTCCAGCAAATTCATCCTCTTGCCAGGCATCTCACTCAGCCCAAGCCCTCCTCTTGCAAAATTCCTTGGTATCCCATCTTCCAGACTGCCTGATATCTCAGCTTCCCTCAACTTCTTTCCAGAAGGTCTTTCCACAGATCCATGGCATTCCAGCACTGTGGCATTCCTCAGTGTCCCTTTGAGCAACTGAAGGATGTGTTACTTTGCGCAATATGTTCAGGCTCTTCCTACTGTGTCTTCAGCCCCTCCCAATGTCTCCTGTGCAGGGTGAGGGAGACGAACAGCAGAAGCAGTTGCAGGAGTGTCTGGACAGAGTATCAGAGCTCAGTTCCTTCCCTTAAATCCCTTGTGTTCACCTCTTAGCAAGCAGAACTGTTGTTCCAGAAATGAGATCCAGAAATTATTTCATTCCAGAAATTGAAGTTGCAGGAAAGGTTTCCCTCCTTCCAGTTCTTTCTAAAATTATATCCAGGAAAACAAAGTGATTGTTAGGGGCTGAGTGGGCAGCAGGGAGGAAATCCTGCGTGTCTGTCTCCCAGACCATTCTGTCATCTCCTTTTGGCATTGCATGTTCAGCCCTGGTTTGGAAGTGGCCACTAGATGGGAGGTGGATTTACCTGAGGAGGGAAAGAAAGCGATGACAAATAAAGTGGGCTGCCAGATTCCTGCAGCACAAGACAGGAGGAGATGGTGCACCACTCGGTGAACCCTCTCTCCATACTTCTGGAGCATCCAGCCCTGCTACTTTCTGCTGTGCCGGCCCTCCAAGCAGCAGAAGCCAGCCTGCAAGCTGTGCAGGCAAAGCTGGCAGCGCCTCAGGGACGAGTCTGCTGCTTTGGTGTTGATGGAAGACCAGTCCCAGAGCACCAGCACTGCTTACAGCAGCTCCCTCCTTGGCTTTGTCCTCCTATTTCCTCCTGTGCCTGATCTACAGAAAGAGATCTGCTGCTTCACAGTCCCTTCCCTCCTCTGCAATTAGGACTACACATCATTAACAGACCCCAAAACACAAGCCTGAATGCAATTCCCAGACACATGTCTCTGGAGACTCTTTCCAATGTGCACCACATTTTAAAAGAAATGCTTTCTCTCATGCCGCTCCCTCCTATTCCAAATAACAGAACAGCCTGGTAGCAACTACAGCAAACTCACAGTGGGAAATATAACAGTAGAGAAGTATTCAGTGTTCACAGTAATCATCTCCTTTACTATGATTTAGCAGAAATGTGGCTGGCATGTCCTGAAGATAAAAAAAAGGTCTTCTGAGCATAGTGCAGAAACTTCTGCTACAAAGTTATGAAAATTCCAGAGCTTCTGTTTCTGTAAATAAAAATTTTCCAGGGGAAAACATACAGAGGAGACAGTCATGTACTTTAGCCTGAACAGGAATCGGGAAATTCAGGGTCTAGTCCCAGCTCCACTCACAGACAGCTACTTTGGCTCATTTGGCTTCAGTTTCCGCTTTCCATGGTAAGACCAAAACAATAATAAAAATCACAATGAAAGCAATAGAAAAATATTTGCATAATTATTTAGCATGTGTTTGCATGCTTTGTATGCTAAACAAGGGATTGTTCCTCAACACACAACCTCAGGACAGATAGGGAAGTAGAAAGTGGGTAGGAGAACGGGAACAAAACCCAATACGTGTAGAAGTAAATTCAGTTCCTTATAAAAACAAGCTGAAATGCGTATTTAGGAGAGGCTAAATATGCAAAGACTCAGAGCCTGGTGGAAAAAGTCAGGGAGTTCATACTGGGAACATAGGCTATGACACAGGAGGAAGTATGGAAATAATTGTGGAAGAAGCTGATAAATGGGTGGACCGGGCTGGAAATACTGGTAGAGCTGAAGGCGGTATCATGACAGGTGTACAAACGATGATGATGATGAATACGTTTTCAGTTTGGACGGTGATGAAGCATGAGTCCTGCTGACTAAGGGTGAAACAGCCCAGACAGTGACTGTTAGATTCTCCTGCTCCAGGGCAAGATGCATTGGACTGCATCTAAACCAAGGCAGGACTGCCTATCTGCAGATCTCAGCTCCTTCCAAAGCAGCGCTCAGAGCCAAGCACCCGCCTGAGGAAGATACTGCTCCACAACTCTTTGATATGGCACATTTACCAGCAGGTTCAACCAGTAATTCAGTGAAACATGCATTCAAGTCAATAGGACAAACCCATGTGGGAATAACTGTGAGTCACATCGTTGCAGGAGTGGCACCCCTGCACTGAGCCAAGCCCATCCCAGAGCTGTTCCGTTGGCATCCAGTGAGGGTCTGCCACAGATCAAGTTCTCCATCTGAAATATCAAGCCCTGCCTCTCTGGGACAAATTTACTGCTTTGATCTTTAGACCCCACTGTATGTGGACATGCCAGATGAGGTTTCTTAAACACTCAGACATCCATGGAGACAGAAATATCAACAGGAATCAATGCAGAGATATGTCACCTTGGCAAATTCAACTTACTATGTCCCCTTTGTGCTTTGACAACTTTCAGCTGAGGCTGTTTGTATGATTTGTTGAACTAAATTAGGGAAAGGCTGATTCAAGAACAAAAAAATGGAGCTGAAAAGGAGCTGGGGTTTTCATACTCAATGAAGTAAAATGATAATCACCTATCAAGAGAAAAATACGTGATAGGTGCCTCAGGCAGTAAAATTCTGAAGAGCATCATGAGCCACAGGTTACAAGAAAAAAGACAAAGACATAAAGAAGAATAGATTAACCGAACCATGGGAGAACAGTAAGGAAAGCAGCTGGTTCAGATATTCATATTGACAAAACTCTGGCTGGCTACCAAATATACCCTTCCCACGCAGAAATAATTTGGGCTTGAAGGGAGCATAAACATTCCTTACTATTCTATATCATTAATTGTCAATTCTACTTGGTGTCCAAATCCCAGAACATTAACATCTGAATTCAAATATGATGTGGTCCTAATCATCTGAAAGTAACTACATCCTTTGCCCCACAGTACACTCCTTAGGGTTCATGTGGGGAGAAGCATGACTTGCCATATGGAAAATATCAGTCAAAATAAAATATTTTTATCTTATGTTGAGTCATTCACGGTTTCCCACTGGCGTTTGCCATAAAACCAAGAAAAAGTGAGGTTGTTTAAGCACTGTCTAGTCTCAGGGACTGCGAATGGATGTACATCCAGTTTTACTGCAGTCTGGTGTAGTCTTTCTTGATGCAATAAGCACGTTTAGCTGTCTACAAATTCCATAGATGTTTTTAGTAAAAGTGGGAGGTTGTGCTACCAAAGGAGAACATGAGCCAAAGATCTTCTATTATCCATATCCTGTTAAAGGTCAGACAGAGCTCTTACCTCAGTGCTATAATGTGACCAGAAACTTAATTGAAAATATACGAAAAGGTTATTAATAAAGAGATGAAGCCGTAGTAAATTTAATATAGCTCACAGAAGGACTTTTGCTAGAAAGAGAAGGTTAGATAGATAGATAGATAGGCCTTTAATTAAGGTGTATTGCTGGATTAAGCGTAAATTTTCCAAGCAAGCATGAAGTTGGAAAACTGGTAATTGCTTCCAATTTATATTATAAAAACCAGTCATATTAATTTTACTTCCTATGACAGCCTTACTCAATTCTAAGGTTCATTCACTTAATTGGAAGGGAGAATTCTTTGAGTAAAACATAAGGAATTGAAGAAAGAGACAGACATTGCAAGAATTGAACGAACAGCACTTTAAATGAAATCATTAAAAACCCTCGTCCAAGATTCTCAATAGATTTATGTTTGCTGTCCTCAAGGGATATTTATTATCAAAGCTGAGTAGGAAAAGATTGGAAATTATATCAGAAAAAAGTATCTAATGGTCTTCTTGAAAATTGAATCTGAAGAACTCCCTGTTTCTATTACTATCGTAATTTTTCCATGTCTCAAAATCAGTGTAGACTAGAAACTCAAATGTTTGTCTCACTGAGACCTCTTGCAACAATGGTATAACTTGGTCAAGTGTAACCAAAAGGTACACATGCATACAAACTAAATTTGCCTCAACCGTATTCTTGTCTTGTTCACAACAGAGAGTTACAGGAGGGAGTATGTTCAAAGAGAGCATTGCTGTAAGTATTCATACAACTCTCTTTGCATAAATCAGGCTCAGGAAAAAAAGCCTTACTGAAGCAGTGAGTCTTTGTGGGTTTGGGAGTTATCCAGTTAGTGATAAGGAAACAATACGTGGTGGCTTAAGTGGCAAATACCAAGCAGTAATGATAACAGCTAACATTTAAAAGTAATAGTCCTGAAGAATACAAGTAATTCACAAGACTAAATATCAAAATCACTTGTTGACTACTATTGAATAATAAATCTACATCTCTTTTGCAGGTAAATTGCCTTAAAGAAGAAGATTAAGTTCTGAGGGGGGTTGTTTAGTTTTTCAGTGTGAATATTCACACAGCTTCAGTGGTATCTAGATAACTGCCTGCTCTCTTTCCCCTGACAAAGACAAACACAGGACAGCTGTTTCCACATTTACTGTCACTGGATAAGAGATATAATTCTGTAATTATAATCAACCAATATGCACTGAATTTTAATCTCATTTATGCATTCTGCATAAATCAAAATAAGTGCATCACGAATACATTCCTGGCATGGACAAGTGGGTTCTGGTACAGACAAAGGCATCAGCAGCACTATGCCCAAGTCTTTCTGGGATCCATTTAAGCAGCCACTTGAAAAGGATCCATAGCAGAAAGATGACCATAAAAGTGGGGAAAGCTGAGGCAAAGACAATGATAAGTAGCACAGAGCTAAATCTCTCCCTGTCAGAAGTCAAATGATGTTAAAGAAATTACTCTATGGATGGTTTTGGTCTACGTCTCTGGTTTCTGGAGGGAAGTGACATGGGATATTACTCCATCAATGGATATAAAGAGAAGGTTAAAATGTCCTGATGCTAATCATTCAGCAAATATAAAATAATCATGTTGTGAAAGTATTTAATACTTTCCATTTTCAGTGATGAGCAAGCTTTAACTAATTAAACAGCAAGGTTAGAGTAATTAAAAGCTCGGATGTTAGGTTGCTAACAGGAACAGAATAATAGATTGAATGAATTATCTTTAAACAATTCAAGACTAAAAGAAAACACCAAAACACTCCTATGTTTACATGAAAGGAATGAGATCTCAATACGTCAAGAACATTAAAGCTAGCAACAATAAATTTTTATCTGTCAGCGGGAAGGGAAGATAGAGCTCCAGAAAGCCCAGGGAGGATTAGGGAGGACAGTAGACAATCAACAGTGAAACAGAGACAAAGCTGGGAACATAACTGTAAAGTGCTTGAGGAAATCCCTAAATCCGTTGGTATTAAAGCATTTACAATGACTTTTCAATTTTGTGACCGGCCTCACTATTGGGAGAGTTCTGTCATTTATGACAGTGGAAGCAGGATCAGGTCTTAAAGTCAATAAGTTAAAAAAGCTTTAGTGAGGTTTGAAGTTATTTCATGAAACGCACTTACAGTGATTTGCTTAAGAAAGATACAGCAAATAGCTACTAGTAGGCCTTAGTCGTGAATACAGAAACAAGTTAAAGCAAGGTAAGATACAGTGTGAAACCAAAGCATTTC